CAACTACAAACCCTTTAGATTAAACCACAACCACTAGGGGAAATCACCATGAAAATACATCTAACCTATCAGCAAGCAAGACCCAACAAGAATATTAACCCATATTTGCTAAAGCACACCCCAAGAATGGGGTTTTTTTAGCCACACATCAAGAAATAAGAAATTATACCTAACATGATAAAGAAATCAACTGGGTATAAGAAATTAAACCTTGAATTAAGCTACGAAAGAAGAATAAAGAAGACCCACTTCCAACTTGTGGAAGATTAACTCTTTTCTTCAAGTCTCCACAAAACCCTCTCCAAACTTGAGAGAAAAATACTATAGACAAATAATAATCTTTACTGTAAAATGTTCCACAAGGCTACAACTCTAACTAGTATTTATAGCTTTCACAGATTGTGCTGCGGAGAATCGTTCGGCAATATTAGTCGAGATCACCGATGAACTCGGTGATCCGCTCTTTAATCATCTCATCGCCTTCAGTGTCTTGCCATTAGTATCCTCATATTATGGATCATTGGGTGGTACAGTACTGCTTCGTGGAACTAATCGGCGACTCACCGACTACTCCTTTCCTCGCCTTTTGATCCACTTCCTTCAAGGCTTCGCGTACTTGAGCAAAGGGTGATGCATATCAATTCAGCGAATTGCCAAGTTGGACTCGGTGATCCACAGACTTTCATTTCTTGTTCTTTTCAGCCCTTTTTTCACTGTTTTGCGCCTAAGTGTCCATACTTCCAGTACACCTTCAAATACCTAAAACTTAAGCATTTTAATCAGGTATTGAGATAAAACAAGCATTCGAGGACACTATTTCTATTAAAATAAAGCCCTAAATGAATCCAATTTCTAGACTCATCAACTTTCCCGATTGTAAATAAGTTTTCGGAAGTATTCCCAGATGATCTACCCGATATTCCTACTGAAAGGGAAATAGACTTTGGTATTGATCTTCTCCCAGATACGCAGCCTATCTCTATTCCTCCTTACCTAATGGCTCCGCTACAACTTAAGAAATTGAAATAGCAATTAATAGATTTGTTGGATAATGGTTTCATCCGAGTTAGTATCTCTCCATGGGGTTCTCCATTTTTGTTTGTTCAAAAGAAACATGGTTCACTCCGTATGTGTGTGGACTACCACAAAATGAACAAGGTCACCATAAATAAGAAGTATCCTCTTCCAAGGATAGATGAATTGTTTGACCAACTACAAGGAGCAAGTTATTTCTCTAAGATTGACCTTAGGTCAGGTTATCACCAATTGAGGGTAAAAGAAGATGATATTTCGAAAATGGCTTTCCGAACTCGATATGGTCATTATGTGTTTTTGGTGATGTCATTTGGCTTGACTAATGCTCCGGAAGCTTTTATGGACTTGATGAATAGGGTGTTTATGCAATACCTTTACATGTTTGTGATTGTGTTCATTGAAAATATATTGATATATTCAAGGAGTGAAGATGAGCACACTAATCACTTGAGGATTCTGTGGCAAGTTCTCAACGACCAACAAATTTTTGCAAAGTTTAGTAATTTTGAGTTTTGGTTGAAGTATGTGGCTTTTCTTGGTCACATTGTTTCCGAAAAAGATATTGAGGTAGATCCTTAGAAGACGGATGTGGTTAGGATTTGGCCTAGACCACTATCCCCTTCGGATATTAGGAGCTTTTTGGGTTTAGCCGGTTACTATAAAGGTTTGTGGAAGGGTTTTCGTCAATTGCCTCTCCATTGATGGCATTGACCCAAAAAAAAACCAAATTCTTATTGTCGAAAACTTGTGAGAAGAGTTTTCAAGAATTGAATTATAGACTTACTTTTGCTTCGGTGTTTGCTTTACCGAAAGGGACCGATGGTTTTGTCGTTTATTGTGATGCCTCAAGAATTGGGTTAGAATGTGTCCTTATGTAAAATGGGAAAGTCATTGCCTATGCTTCAAGGCAACTTAAGATTCATGAAAAGAATTATCTGACCCATGACATTGAACTAGCGGCGGTTGTTTTGGTGTTAAAGATTTAGAGGCATTATTTGTATAGTGTTCATGTGGATGTCTTTACCAACCACAAGAGTTTGCAATATGTGTTTAACCAGAAAGATCTAAATCTTCGCCAAAAAAGATAGCTTGAATTATTGAAAGACTATGACATAAGTGTTCTGTATCACCTCGGTAAAGTGAATGTGGTGGCGGATGCTCTTAGTCGATTATCGATGGGTGGTGTTTCTCATATTGAAGATAATAAGAAAGAGTTAGTTCGAGATGTTCATAGATTGGCTTGATTGGGTTAGTTGACTCTACCAATTGTGGTGTTATGGTTCAGATTCATCTTTTGTGACCGATGTGAAAGCCAAGCAAGGTCTAGATCCAACTTTGGTTTAATTGAAGGAAAAAGTGCTTAAAAGGTCTTTAGAGGCTTTCTCCCAAGGGGGAGATGGTGTACTTAGATATCAAGGTCGTTTTTGTGTTCCTAATGTAGACTACTTGAGAGAACGGATCTTGTTAGAAGTCCATAATTCTCGATATTTCATACACCCAGGAACTACCAGCATGTACCATAACCTACGGGAGATCTATTGGTGAAATGGGATGAAGAAAGATATTGCGGAATTTGTGGTTGAGTGTCCAAATCATTTACAAGTGAAAGTTGAGCATCAAAAGCCAGGAGGTTTATCTCAAGCTATTAGTATCCCTACTTGGAAGTGGGAAGATTTGAACATGGACTTCATTGTTGGTTTGCATCTCACCCGGCGATAACATGACTCAATTTGGGTTATTGTAGATCGAATGACAAAATCAGCTCATTTTATCCCCGTCAAGGGTTCTTTTTGGCGAAGGTCTATGCGAATTTATATTTTAAGGAAATAGTAAGGTTTCATGGAGTGCCCTTATCCATTATCTCCGATCGTGGTACCCAATTCACTTCTTAGTTTTGGAAATCTTTCCAAAAGGGTCTTGGTACTCGTGTTAAAGTTATTACGTCCTTTAACCCACAAATTGATGGGCAAGTGGAGGGTACTATCCAAACCTTGGAAGATATGTTAAGAGCATGTGTAATTGACTTCAAGGGTAATTGGGATGATCACTTGTCTTTGATTGAGTTTTCTTCCAACAATAGTTATCACTCAAGCATTGGTATGGCTCCATTTGATGCCCTATATGGTATGAGGTGTATATCTCCAATAGGTTGGTTTGAGGTGGGTGAAGTTGCCCTAATAGGTCCCAAGTTGGTATATGAGGCTATGGAGAAAGTTTGACTTATTAGAGAAAGGTTGAAAACAGCTCAAAGTTGACAAAATTCCTATGCCGATATGAGAAGAAGAGATCTTGACTTCGAGGTAAATGATTGGTTCTACTTGAAAATTTCACTCATGAAGGGTGTAATGAGATTTGGGAAGAAAGGAAAGTGTAGTCCCCGTTATGTTGGCCCATATCAGATTTTGAGATGAATTGGAAAGGTCAGTTGTGAACTTGAATTGCCTAGTAAGTTGGCATTGGTACATCTAGTTTTCCAAGTCTCCTTGTTGAAGAAGTGTGTTGGAGATGCGACATCTACAATCCCCTTAAAAGCTTTGGGAGTTCAGGAGAATCTTTCATATGGGAAATTCCGGTGGAGATTTTAGACCGGCAGGTTAAGAAGTTAAGAAATAAGGAAATTGATTCAGTGAAAGTTCTTTGGAGGAATCAGTTAGTTGAGGGTGCTTTATGGGAGGCCGAGGCCCATCCCTACTCTAGCTTGAGCTATTTAGTCCCTCATGGTTTACTCCTTTGGTGTAATGTGTCTTAGATATTCCCATGATATCCTCATTTATGCATGTTCATGGAAAAGCTTAACTTTTTGGGAAAAAAATGAGTTTGTTAGATTGACCTTTTTATGTTTATGTGCATTTGAGTATGAGTTGCATATACACCTTATAAGATGATGTTTTGAATATGCTTTAGCTTGGAGTAGATTTACCTCCTCGGATATGTGCATTTATGTGACACTACACCATTTTAGGCTTACGGCCACACTAATTCTGGACAACGCTTGTAAAGTGTTGCCTAAAATATTTTTGGCTACACTTTTAAAGCGTAGCCCAAGTTTTTGACTTTTGGCTTCAATAATATTGGCAACACTTGTAAAGCGTACTCTTTAATGGTATAAGCTACACTTTATAAGCGTTGTTACATTATGATATAATTGACAACAAGTATTTACATATATGGCAACACTTTTAAAATATGCTATTTTTATAATTGTAAAAACAACACATTACAAGTGTGACCTTAAACTTTTCACTAAAATAATATATTCCCTCCAACATTTTCAAGATCCCGCTAACATTTTTATTTGGGAAAGCAAAATAAGTCATAAAACATAAAATCCCAAGGTCGAAATCTGAAATTTTTTGAAGAAAGAACGCTCAGCTCAGCTCATCTCATTGAAGCTCCAAATCTGATTTTTTTCACAAAGCAAAACTACAAATTTTTGTCAGGTATTGCTTCATCAATGAATATACTCTACAAATTTTTGTCAAAGCAAATTGAAGAATGGTTTCAAAATTTGTTGTTCATCTCAGAAATCCTTGATGATTTTTTGATTTTTTCTTCAATAACAGAACAAACGCTTCAGTTAAGAAGATGATTTCTCGAAGATTCATCACATTGAAAGGATTTTGTTGGAATAGAGTTTATCAGGTAAAAAATTTATCTTTAAAAGTCAAAATTTATGGGTTTTGGGTTTATTGCTTGCGTGTGGTTTCATATTTAGCTTTGAGGTTTTGATATTCTTCTCTTTGTTGATACGATTTTTTATTTATTTTTGGGAGTATAGGTCAACTGGGAATGCTGCCGGCAGTCCCTCTTCTTCGAATGCCTTAACGCCGATCAAAATTGACGGATGGGAGGAGGATGTTTTTCTGTCCCGATCCAAGCATTTGCATCGAGTGGAAGTTTTCAAAAGAAGGAATCGACGGACAAAGCAACTCCATCGTATAGACAGAGATTGTTACTGGTCGTTAATGGAGGAAGTAAAGGTCAAGCATAGAGAGTATTGCTGGAAGTTTGGAATAAGTGTTTTTCAGGAAGATGAGGATAAGAGTAATAAGGTTGGTACTCTAGGAACTGGAGAGAACAACGGGAATGCGGTTATCAGTAATCCTTGTGGGGTTCATGGCTGTAAGTCGAAAGCAATGTCGCTTATGAGGTTCTGTCATATACATATATTATCAGAGCAGAAGCTGTACAAGGCATGCAGTTTTGCCATCAAAAGGTATTTTTCTTTTCTTCACATTTCATACATTTATGTCTTAGTATTTTGTACAGTTCTAAGCTTTATAAAGAAATATAACTTTTCGTATGTCTGTGACTCTCAATTCGATATGATTATCCTGCCTTAGAATATCCAGCACTACATGTTTTACCCTTGCTATTAGGTTGTCCTGATTCCTGAGTATAGTCACTATGCAAAATCTGTAGACTGTGGAAAAGGTATTGTGTGGGTATGCACGCATGAACTATCTTGCTTGGAGTGTAATTTTTGTCTAAAAGATGCGTCCTTTCTTAATTGTTTCTGAAGCAGAATGTATATGCCTGCGCCCAATTTGCTTTATTATTTGGTATAAAGCTGGTTATTTTGCTAACGTATAAAAAAAAGTCTCATCCTTTTTCCTCAAAAGGAACTTTGCCAATTAACTTCAAGTTCTTGTTGTTCTTTTTTCATTTTCCTATTTTGTTAAAGGTTCTTTAGTTTTTCTGGAGTCTTTTGTGAAGATTTCCTGATACATTTTACCCTTGTGCAAAGATTGCTCTTGCACCTAGCAAGAAGAACATGTGTGTATGTATGAGAGTATGGTTCTGGAAGGCTGTAAGCTAAAGTAAAAGCAGTATAGGTGGTTGGATTCACTTATGTTCTGATTGCCTTTACGAGTAAGATTAGGTCGTATGGTGGGTGTATATCATTTTAATGTTTTATGATCATTGGACTTTACTTCCCAAGCAACTACGCTTTATTTTGAATTGTACCCTGTAATTGTTAACTTTCTAACCTCATGGTATAGTGCATGTGGGATCTAGTTTTGATTCCTACCATTTATCTTTTCCTGCTCTTCCGAATTACGTAACTACCTTCTTGTTATTCATTTTTTTCCAGCCCATTTACACTTAAACATTCCCCAAGATATTAACCATCAACATTTCCCACTAGGCTTCTCTGTAGGACTTCGTTTTGTGTGTTTGAGGTGTCATTAATGTAGATAATTTTGTTTGCCTTCATTAAAGTAGTTGTTGTAGGACTTTTTTACTGTAGCTATTGTGCGAGGTGCAGTGGAGCAGAAGTAAAAGTGGTCATCTGGGTTGCACAATCCCAAACCTAGCAACAACTTCTCTACTGTCAAGTTACAGCTGTCGTTTAATGCATGTGACGTATAAGAATTTAAAGGATTTTACTGTTATCCAGCTAAATCAGAGGCTGAGTATTCTGTTGTGGCTAGACGAGACAAATGTTGTGGCTAGACATAGGTGTATTCTCGAGTGTTGATATATTCATAAATCTACGGCTTATTCTGGAGTGCTGATACAACTATAGTGCACAGTTTGAACCTCATATTCTTATGTTAATTGTTCTTTATGCATATTGTAGGAAGACGAACGGATCGGAACAAATCGGCTTGCACTGCTGAAGAAAATAGCAGACTTGCCAAGGGGATAACTATAATAATAGCCAATGCAGGGAGAGGAACTTCTTAGCTCATCAACCAATTTTGCTGGATCGGGTCTCCAAATCTTTCAGAGGAGAAGTAGTGAACAGGTGCACTCAACTGATGCCATTGTTATCTTCCTTTGTCTACATTTCGACTGTCTTTCGTTCTCAACCTTAAAACATAAAAGGGTTTATTTCTTGTTTGTGGAGCTTGTTAATGATCTTTGGTGATAAGTTAATTTCTTGATGGTGGAGTTGTTAATATTGTTTAGTGCTAATGCATTTTGTTTCAATTTGGTAGTAAATTAACAGATAAGATAGCTGCTACTTTCTCTAGGTCTCTTGGAGTTTCAATTGATTTTACAACATACCTGCTACATAAAGATTTATATTTTTTATATATCAATATACAGAGGCTTCAAATTATGGGAACTATAGTCCTTCTACCTCGTGCCTCACTTTGCAAAGATCATGCATCTTTTCCTTCTTCATTGCAGTGGTGGCTGCAAACATTGTTTCTACTTTGGATACAAGTCTTCATTTTGCATTATGTTCTTGAAATGTTGGATGTAGAATTGGAGCTTTCACTAATATATTTCCTAGTAACTTCATGTGTATAAGTTGCCTAAGGAACTGCATGTCTTAATGTTTACATTCGGTTCTCTTAGTCTGTGTATAAATTGCCTAAGGAACTTCATGTCCTAGCTTTCACTTATTGATTTTGGACATCATTCTGGATCAGAAGTTCTATTTCTGTAATTTAATCATGTCTCTATTTTTTTAAGTCCCTCCCTTGTGTACCTAATTTCCCTTCACAAGAGAGCTCGATTGATATATCTGACAAGTGTGAGAATGTTCTCAGTCGACTATCAGAAAAGCATGGATGCAAAGTATGCCTATTTCTATTATTACATTCTCCATTGTTGTATCTTGGACTTTGGCTGGTGTATCTTCTAGCTTTGGTTTAGAATTGTTGGAACAATCAGCGTCAATATTGTGAGTATTTATCATTCTACAAAATTGTTAGTACATCCAATATTACTCTTTGTTATTTGTTTTCTTCATCTTTTTCTATTACCAAGATTGACATATGATACTCGTACAAATCTGGCATTTTTTTCGTTCATTTACTGCAGCAGACTATGTTGCTACTCAGCGGCTTAGGTGAGACATGGTGTTTCTTAAGCTACCTACACTAAATCAATCTAACCTAGTCATGAATTTCTTTTAGACTCCATCTGAGAACTGATCTGATGTTATTGTTGTCATCTATACTGATTATATGCTCAAGGTGGTTTCTTAATTCTTTTCAACTTCTTCCTCTTGAAATTTTTCATTCCCAGCTGCTCCAAAATGTAGCTTCCTTTTTACTGCTGCTGCTAGTTGATTATATGTGTAGAAGTGTTGAGTAATGTTTGATGTATGACTCAATTTCGAAAGGTAATCAACAGAGAAACTGGCCTCTCTATATGAATGTTTACACTGGAAAAATTTAAGGCTGGTTGTGATCTGCTGCAGCTCTTTGATAAAGTGATTAAGTTACCATGGAGGGATACTGTTAGCAGTGATCCACTTCATTAAAAGTTCAGAGTCCACCTCCAAAATGATCTTTCTGTATCCATGTTGCATTCACCCGTTAACTCTATGTATGGCTGCTTGTATCTAAGCCTGGTAGTTGGTACCAATGACAAGGGGAACAACAAATGCATACACCAACTTTCCTTGGTGATCTCTTAAAATTCCTCCTCCACCTATCTTGTCTAGATTATTGAGAGCACTCCTATTTGTATTTAGCTTGTACACACCATTGCAAGGTCTTTCCCAAAGAACTGGTATAACCTTAATTTCATGACTACAATGTTCCACCATAAAAGATTAGATCATTCCAGTTGTGTGACCACTGGATATAGGGGAAAACAGTGTTGAAAATTTGAAGGATAATTTTTCAGATTAGGAACTTCACTATCCTCATATTGGATTGTTTGGCACCATATTTTACTGCACATCTATTTTTCCACAGGTTCCAACATATAATGATGGGAAGGGCCTGATTCATGAGCTTGTGAGCCTCATTTTTATGTTGCATGTTACCCCACTGCATAAGAAGATTTCTTAGTATTGAGCATATTAAATACATGATTTATTTTACTAACTTATGTTTTTATTTTGAATGTGCAGGAAAATGACGGTAATTGAATTTGAATAGTGGCTAGAAGTAAACTCGATCTATTGTAGTGAACAATGAAGAGTTTTTGTACTATTGTCATATTTGTTTGAATGCATTTGGTTTTGTGGAATTTATTGATAGTAGAGATCTTTAAGCAATCGCTTTCTAAGTATTGGTTGTACAAGACATGTTTGTTGAAGTTTATTTGAAATATACAGCTTCGATTTACATATTAGCTAATTTTGTGGTTTACATCACTTATATATTTAATTATGTGATTATTGAATATATGCAAAGAAAACTCATTATTCTTAAAAATGAAAAATTGTGGCTACAAAAATTCTACAAAACATTGCCACACTTCAAAAGTGTTGCTATAGGACGTCTAATGTATTATCTTGTACATAAGAAAAGTTACACTTTAGAAGTGTTGTTCTAGATGAGATATAAAAGGCAACACTTTTTAAGTGTGACCAATAACAAAACAATGGCCACGCTTTTAAATGTAGTATAATCGATCAAAAGGTGTTGCCAATGAATTACTACAAAGCGTGCCCTTTATACCTCGTTGGCCATGCTTTTTAAGTTTAGCTGTTATGGCGACATTTCAAAAGTGTGGCCTAATGTCAAAGGTTACGCCTCTTTAGGCCACCCCCTAAAAAGTGTTGCTTAAAGTCCAAAAGGGTAGCCTTTTATCAAAGGCCACACTTTTTGCTAGTTTAGGCTACACTTTACTGGGGTGGCCGTAGGCCTAAAATGTTGTAGTGTGATTTCATTCATTTTGGGTTGTTAGATATTCTCCCTACCCTCCTTATGATGTCTTGAGTCCCATTCGTGGACGACTGTTCCCAAAGGGGATATATTGTAACACCTCAAAAAAAAGACTTGTAAGGAAGGGTTCACGAACGGTGGAAATATCTAAGGAAGGGTTCAAGGACGGTTGAAGAGACCACGGTCAATAAACCCATCCTTGAACATAAGCCTTGTGAAAATTATTCTAAGGCAAGTGTGTAAGGAAGGGTTCAAGGATGGTGGAAGAGTCCACGGTCAGTGAACCCATCCTTGAACCCAAGATTTGTGAAAAATATTCTAAGGTAAGGGTCTAATGTAGGGTTAAAGGACAGTGGAAGAGTCCACGGTTAGTGAACCCAAGCCTTGTGAAAAATATTCTAAGGAAGGGTACAAGGACAGTGGCAAAATCCACAGTCAGTGAAACCATCCTTGAACCCAAGCCTTGGGAAAAATATTCTAAAGCAAAGGTCTAAGGAAGGGTTCAAGGACGGTGGAAGAGTCCACGGTTAGTGAATCCATACTTGAACCCAAGCCTTGTGAAAAATATTCTAAGGCAATGGTCTAAGGAAGGGTTAAAAGATGGGGGAATAGTCCACGGTCAGTGAACCCAAGCCTTGTAAAAATTATTCTAAGGCAATGATTCACGGTCAGGTTCATGGGCATTAGAAGGGTACACGGACGGTAGACCCATCCGTGGAGATTTACTTAGAAAAAATAAAACTCGTCAATTATTTTTTCAAGGTTATATGGGTCTTTTCCTATGCATCTAATACCTAAACTAGGTCGTTTTAATCCTAATCCTAGAACCTATATAAGTCTTTTAAGCCTAAAATTTAACCATTCGAAATCACTTTTAAACTTCCCCAAATCCCTTCAAGTTCTTCCCCCAAAAGATTTTTCTCTCTAAAAGCTTGAAGAAGAAGAATAGGATTTCAAGATCAAGTCTCTAAATTCACCATTAATTGTGGGCTTTGAACTCTAAGGTATGATAGTTTTCATGCATGGAGCCCTTTCCTCCATGGAATTCCAAAATTCACCAATTTGTAAAGTTAGAACCCCAATTGAGTTAGGATTTTTCCTCGATATCACGGGTTCTTTTAAATGTTGATTTATTTGATTGATTTATGAAATTTTATGCATTAATTGATGTAGTCTCATAATTTTAAGGTGAACCCCCTTGAACCTATGCTTAACCCATGTATTCTAAATATTGATGATTGAAAGTGGGTCTTGAACTATAAAAGGTGAATTAAGGAATTATGCATGTTCTTATGGAATTGATGAGATATGATATATATTGCTTTGAGAGTAAAAACATATATGTTGTTGTCGTGGCTAATTGTTGTGAAAGGATTGCTTACATAAGTATCTCATGCATGAAAGTGAAAGGTTTTCTCACATTAAGGATTCTAAGGTTGAAAGGTCTTCTCACCTAAAATGATAAAGGAGCTATTCTAATGAAACCTAGCTTGGATTGGTTACTTCATTGTACATTTCCATGGATGACAAATGACTAAGCTTGAATTGTTAAGATGGCGTGCCCTTCCATGTATAATAAAGACAAGTTAAGAAAATGACTATTCTACCGGATTTACGCTTAGCACCGAGATGATATTGAGATGGGAGCTCCCCCGTTAGTAGAGGTCGAGTTTCAAGAAGAAATCTCTTTATCCCATACCTATATTCCCGCATAGGATAATTGTCTTAGATAGACATTTTCTAGTGGATCCACATAAGCTAGAAGTTCATTGTCTTACCTTGGCAAGTAGGACACCCCTTTTTGGTGTGGGATAGACACCGGATTTCGTGTTGATAGCTCACATGGTTTTATATGTCAATTAAAGGTGAATTTCCCACAATAATGAACTAAGGTTACTTCAAGAAGTATCTCACATGTGACTTAAGATGATGTTTATTTTCATTGACCATGTTTTATGACATATGTCTTATAGTTCTTTTACATTCGTGATTTAACTTGGTTATTGCACTTTATGAAAATGTCCCTTTTTCATATCTTAAAATGTTATATGCATGGCTATCATACTTGGTA